CCCAACTCCCCCGCCAGAGACCTTCCCCTCTCTACCCCCAACCCCGCCGCTCCACCACCCACTCTTTCGTGACGACCTCACGCCTGCTGCCTTCGCCCCGACGGCGGCCCTGTTAGGTCGGAACGGATCAAGCTGAGTCCACGGTGTGGAGGGGGGGGGGGGTCAAAGCTCAAGTCGAACCGACTATTACACTAACGCACACGCGCCATAGCCAACTTGGACGGAGTCGCATATCGCCTCACGATGAGCCAAAGTGCTTCGGTCGCGGCCGGTTCTATACTTTAACGAGTCGCATAAGCAAGAAGTTGACGTGGGCAACAGTGAGACGGGCCGCAGCGCCGCCGGGAAATGCGTCGACGGAAACATGACATTGTAGCCATCTCGACAAATATTTTAAAACAGAGAACAAAGCACACAAAGCTTTATGAGATGGTTATTGTGAATGTTCATAGAGCAGTTTAAAGCTGTTTAGCTGCTGTCTTTGGGCCATTGATCTTGTCGAAGGCAAACTATGGATTTATTTCTCCCATCTTTCCTCCCACCTCCCTCATTTTTTTGTCCCGTTTCTCTTTTACACACACATACACACACATATTGCGAATAGGGAAACACGGGAAGGGGAAAAAAAAAGAAAACTTGTTTTGATCCTAATCCAATTAACATGACGGCTGCCGCGTGGCGTGATGGCGGGGCGTGGCCGGCCCTAGGCAGCGGCTATTGTGGTGAATTAGCATAGCACGTGTGCGAAAGGGAGACAAGCAGTCGATATCGATCGGGGAGCGGGAGAGGGAAGGAGAGGCGTGGGGGAGAGGAGAGGAAGTGAGAGAGTGAGAGGGAAAGATAGAGAGGGAGGGAGGGACAAAGAGGAGAGGAGGGGCTACACCCCCCTGGCGCAGGGAGATCATCAGGTCCTGATGGCCATCCAGTAGTGATGGGTCAAATTAGAAAAGGTGCAGAAAAAAGGAAAAAGGACACAAAATTACAAAATTGCACGCGGGGAAACGATGATGGGGCGAAAAGATGCAACCCTGCATTTCTCGCGTTATAGCTGTTTCATGGAGGAATATTACTGTATTCTGCCGGGAAAGTTCTTTCAAACTTCAGCAATAAATGTTGAAACAACGGTTTGCGATGCTGCGCAAAATTTGCAAATATAACAAGCAGCTGCCCGTCGTTGACAATGGAAAATATCTGTTGAACGGGGAAAGTTGAGCAGTGCTCGTGCAGCTGTGCGACAGGGAGCGGGTGATGGGCCGGGCCGGGCAGAGGGCCATCCGTCATCCCCACGACCCTCATTATCATTTCAAAACGAGTTCAATTTCCTTTTCTGCGCGCGCGCCGTGGCGTAGAGTAGCGCATGGGACTGGCACTGCCGAGGACCTCCACAGGGAGCGAGAGAGTGAGATAACGGGCGGAAGAGAGCAGAGAGGAGAAAGGGCAGGAGAGAGAGAGGGAGAGAGGGGGGGGGATAGACGCGTAGCCCTTTATCGCGCGGGCACCATCTCTGGCCGGCGCGGGGACTGCCATTCAACCCAAACGGTTCGAGCGCGCCAACAAGTGCCGGGCAGGAGGGCCATAGGGCGAGAGAGAGAGGGCGAGAGAGAGGGCGAGAGAGAGGGCGAGAGAGAGGGCGAGAGAGAGGGCGAGAGAGAGGGAGAGGGGTGGGGCCATCACCATACTGCAGGTGGGCGCGGGCGCGTGGATAATGGCAACGGACTATAGCAGCAGGCGCCATTAGGCGTCATGGCCCAACTTCCGAAACGACTTCAATAATAACACGCCGGCTCGTGTTGTTGGCTTCTCTTTTAAAACAACCCCCTCCCCAATCCCAAAATCTCGCTTTTCTTCGCTGCAATAGCACTCCATAGACCGTGTACCCCAGTGTGCCCATACGCCTGTATACCTTTTGCTCGCCTCGCAACTAAGAGGGAGTGTCTTAATCAAAGGGAATATAAGGCACTCTGCACGGCGACGGCAGCAGTTGCCCCTGTCCGTCCATTGTTTTCTTTATCTTTTTTAATATTGCTTTTCTTGCCCTCCTTAAATTACGGAATTTACCCTCCTGGCGCTTTTACAACACGGCCGCGGCGCCGCAGCCGCCGTCTTAACGGCGGGAGATTACACTTAAACGGGGTCGCTGGGCGGGGCGTGGCGGGGCGGCGGCGGCGTGTGATGCACGCTGGCGCCGACGCCAAATTCAGCGGGCGTCCGCTCGCTCAAGTCTGCGTGCGCTCCTGTCTGCCGCTCCACTCTGGCGGGGCGAGCTGGCGAGCAGCAGGGGCCTGAGAAGAGGTGACCTGGCTGGTCCAGGCCTGCCCTGCCCCCGCCCCTCACCCCCGCGCAAAGTGCATACATGTGCGCTGCTGCTGCGCTCCTGCGCTCCGCCAATAGGCAATTTCCTGGGTGCCTGGCCCCGCCTGCTGGCCTTGCCCCCGACGGCTGCAGCAGCTCCACCTTCCCCGCCCCCCTGGACCACGCCCTTCCCCTGCTTCCAGTTGTATTTCGAGCCCTGCGGGGCCAACGGCAGCAGCAGAGGCAGCAACTCCGGTCTTACCGATGCCCCGGGGGCGTATTCGATAACGTCCCCGGGGCCTTTGCATCTATCCCCTCCCCCGGCCCGCCCC